CATAAGTTCAAAGCCAGCCTCAGCAAAAGTGCCCCTGAGTTCAATTCCCAGTACCCAAAAGAAAAATTACTTCAGAAACATGACTAATGAATAAAAGTTAAAAATTAATAAGTGATATGGTTTTCTACAAAGCAAAACATAATATTTAAAATTTAATGTTCTATTCTTGTTTTCACATATGATCTAGTAATATGAATCATTTTGAATACACTTATAAAATGGAATAGTGTTTTGTGATAAAAATGAACAAATTGCTGAGCCCATTGGTGCGTACCACCTGTAATCCCAGCTGCTTGAAAGGCTGAGGCAGGAACACTGAAAGTTAAAGGCCACCCAGCCTATGCAACTTAGCAAGGAAGACCCTGTCTCAAAATAAAAAGAGCTGAGGATGTGACTCAGTAGTAAAGCATTTACTTAGCATACACAAGGCCCTGAATTCAATCCCCTCTAACTAACACCGCAAAATATAATAACAAGAAATTATTGCTACAAGCAACAATAATGATGAACAATAATAATAAAAACAAATTACTGCAACAAACAACAACAGTAATGAATCCTAAAAAAAAAAAAAAAAAAAAAGTCCACTTAAACAATGTTCAAAAACAAGCAAACTGATCTATAGTGATAGAAATCCTTCCTAAAGAATTTTAGTTTTAGGGAGGAGGAAGAAGTAATGAATTGAAGGGAAGAAGGTTTTGAAATGCTACTGTTTTAACAAGAACTTTTTTCAGGCTGGCCGTGGCGGTGCATACCTATAATCCCAGGGGCTCAGGAGGCTGTGGCAAGAGGATTGTGAGTTCAAAGCCAGCTTCAACAATTTAACGAGGCCCTAAGCAACTCACTAAGACCCTGTCTCTAATTAAAAAATATAAAAAAGGGCTGGAGATGTGGCTCACTGGTTGAGCACTCCTGGATTCACTACCTGGTGCCAAAAAAAAAAAAAGAATTTTGTTCAGGGTGGGAAAGTCACTTTCTTAAAACAGATGGCTTCACTTGCTAAAAAGTGCATCAAAGTATATACACTTTTGTAAACTACTACATTATGTATAATGAAAAAAGCATACAAGTCTTTATAGACTTTTTATAGTTTTTCTTTTAACAATATATTAAAAATCAGTTGAAAACTGATAGCCAAATTACACTATCATACTATACAATTTCAGAAACTGTGATTAGCAAGACATAGAAGTTATTGGCCTACGTTTTTCAAATTTTGAAAACTGTTTAATTTTAGTAATATTCTCCCATATAACCTATCTTTTCCATATACTATATTTTTTGTATCCATTCTGTAGTAAAAATAATGAAATCTGTGAAACTGTATTATTTTTAAATTATGCTTATAATAAAAACATGTTTGAGCATTCTCTGTCTCTGATAATGTTAATAAGAACCTAAGAATCCAAAAATGAGTAAATATGGATATGTACATATTTTAAAAGGTTACTCATTAAAACATATAAAACACAATAAAAACCCTAAATGTCTAATTTCTAGAATGCTTATGCAAACTACAGAATATCTTTATGATGGAATATTTAGTACCCATCAACATTTATGAAGTGCCTAAGTAACTGGAACATGTATATTAGATAATAGTAAACGTTAAAACAATAATTTTTACAGATGCTCTCAATTTGATTATTTCCCCCAGTGCTAGGACCTTCAAAACCTTGGGAACTCTACATACACACACTCTTGCTACATTCCTACCCTTCATTCTGATTTTAAAGATAAAAGAAAGAAAAGAAAAAAAGCCTCAAAACTAATATTAGACGAGGAGGTTTCCAGATGGCAGAATAGAGCAGGTCACCTTCCTGGCTGCTCATGGCATGAAACCAAGAAAGCAGACCGGCAGCCTCTCAGCACTCAGCAAGGTGGGTGGGCAACAAAGGTGGGG